CCAACTTGTCGCTGATGTTTTCGTGTTTTCGACTAAACGTCCACTTTCGGCCAAACGCCCACTTTCGGTCAATTCGGCTGGCTACTCGACCAAATGGACCCTCGGCCAACTGGGTACGCTAGGTACTTTCGGCCAAACGGATGAGGCGGTATTCGGTGATATTCGATGGTATTCGGTGGTATTTTCGGCCAAACGATCACAATTCAACCTGGTGATCACTGATGTTGAAATAGGCCAAATAAAACACTCGTCGTGTCTCTCGTGTTGCAATACTACTCTCGTGTTGCAATACTCGTGTTGCAATCTAGAAAGGGAATTATCATCGAGTCCCTTGTGGGGCGCCAAAATGTGCGCTCAATCTGAAAAAACTGTATAAGACAAATTAAATTATGAGTATTTTTCGGTAAACACACATAACAAGAAATAAGCAATGTCAACGGTTTGCATAATCAAGATCACAAAATCAACTTGTTTCGGTACAACTCGTTTTTGAGAGAATTTCGCGCAAGCTAGCCACAAGAACCGGTCGGTAATGTCCTTGAGACAAATTGCTCTTTTTGGCGGTCAACCTTAATCAAGGCTGAACCGAATTAGAACCAAAAAACAGTTAAAATAGGATGTAACCCCCGTTTTTAGTATATTAATACATGGGCAGGTGGGGGACTCGAACCTACGTCAACTGTTAACCTATATAATCGGCGTTATGGTAGCTTAGGCCACTCGGCCAACTGAGCTTATTTTATATGCATCTATACTTGTTTTATTCTACATTTGCATTGCAACAGGGACCCTTTGGGTAGGCAGGGGGTTGTTGTTGTTGTTCGTGAGGAACGAGTTCTTTCATGTCGTGGGAAAAGATCTCCCTGCTCCTTCGAGATAGAATAGGACTTTCATTGGGTGTTCTTGGAGAACGGACAGGTCCGGATACTGGCCCAGTATTTTTTTCTTTCGTCTTCCCAGTGCGGACAATGAAGAAGGAAATGTTCAGCGTCTTCGGGGGCCTAGGTGGCAGAAGAGACAGATGTCGTTCTCAGATCTTTCGAAGCGGCATGCGACCGACTGCAGCTAGGGGGCCCTGTTAAGTCTAAGTTTATGGAGGGTTATTTCATCTCGTCGTGATCCTGTTCTGTCAAATTGTAGTGTTCTCCCTTTTCGTGGCTTTTCTGTGGTGTGCGTCTTCGGGCGTGTTGTTGAAATATAGTTCTAGAGTTCTTGCTTCATTTACCTCGCGCAGATGGTGTCGGACGCAGGCTCCCTGGGGATTTTCTTGGAATCTTCTTCTGCATGCTGATCTCAAGTCTGCGAGGTATTGTTGTTCTCCTCTGGATTCTAGGCGAGATCTGCCTTGTGGTCTGATGAGTGGGCTCAAGTGGTGGTCGGGGTGAGGGTTGTCTTTTTTGCAGAAAAGGTTGGTGCCTTCGGCCTCGGGCGACAAGCTCTAGCGAATAGATGTCGGCTTCTCTTCTGGTCTGTAGACTGGACTGCCCTTCGGAGCCCCTGTGATAGCACAGGCGGCGTCGTTGTTCGTGACTTCGAGATTCTTTTTAGCTGAGTCGCCTAAGAAGTGGTAGTACACTCCAGAACCGTATATGCCGCCTGGGCGCACGTAGGCCTTGTACAGGTGGCGGAGGTCGGCTGAGAAGAGGCCCCATTTCTTGCCGCTGAGAGACCGCAGGATGTTGTTGCGGCTAGACATGCGCTTCTTGGTGAGCCTGCCATGTTCTGTGAAGGCGACCTCGGGGTCCAAACTGATCCCCAGGGTGACCGGGTGCTCTGTGTAACCGACCGCGACGCCGTCGGTGTGCAGAGGAAGTCTGGCTTTCCCTGCTGTTTCCCTTGGATCTAGGGAGAAGAACATGGCTTCAATTTTCCCTGCGTCCATGTTGATCTTCATGTAGTGGCTTCAGTCCCACTTGCCGATGCATTCAAGGACGGGTTGCAAATTTGCGGCAGCTTCTTCAGGGGTGTCGGCTTGGGAGAGTGTCGTCAGGCGGTCGAATCCCTGAAGGGAGAGGGGCGTCCGCACCCGCCACGCCCAAACCGCCCCTGTAGTCAATTAATTTTTGTTGGAAAGTTTGATTAGCCTTTAGTTTTATTAGCCCCCGGTTGATGCAAAATGCTGGCCATGCAAATTTCAATTATAAAATAAAAATACTTGTCACACAATTCCAATATATTCCATCGAAGGAAAAAGGTATAAAAAAAGCATGAAATTAATTTTTTCGTTAATGGAATTGTAAGGCTCAATTTTTCCAACAATGTAATTAAATCACTTGCGATTATTCCATAGATGTAATTGAACAACAAGCATTTGTCCCATTGTCAGAAAACTTTTTTGTTTTGCTCTGAAACACAACACAAAAAATTTTCTCAGATAATAAAACTAATCAAATTCGCCGATCAAACTACATGTTGAGGTATGCCACATAAGTTAAACTATTCAATGCCACACATTACTGCAGGAGAAAAAACTGTTGTTTATATAGCCAAGAGACCTCTATTTCAAAAAAACCAGTGGTTTAAAATCGTGGCCTCTTTTTGGATAGTTGTACGTTGGATTTTATTACGTACAAGCATAAATGAACATTTCTGACATCACAGAAATTTTTCACTGCCATTTTTGGTTCTTCTGTGGAAATGTTTGTTAATTCGTAGAACTAGTTTGGCAACTAAAACGAAAACTTAAATTCCTTTCCTTCAATTTTGAAACTTGGAATGTGAAAACGTTTATCAAACGCTTCTCTAAAATCAAAACTGTACGATAAGCACTTTTCCCATGACAATAAATTTTTGCACAAACAAACTTAAGAAACAATGACAATAAACTTATTCGAAGCTGCCGAAAAACAAATTCAAAGGATTTTGAATTTTTTTTAGTCCGGAAAAATGCTTGTTATACAATTTTCATAAATGTAATTAGCATGATTGTCATTTTTTTCATAGACTCCGTTAATGGAAATGTATGGCAAGCAATTTTGGGTCTTATGCGTTAAACGGCCCAAAATTAGGAAAATAGTCAAAAATTTTATTTCAAATTGAAAACACGTAATCAACATACAATTACTGTCTGTCTGTTTGAAACTCTGAGTATCAATCGAAATGGTTGACCTAGTTGCTCGAATTTGATTGTGAGTTAGAACCGAAGTGGTTAACTCATAGAGTAATTTCGGATAGGGTACACCGTCTGCTCGTCACGCTATCTTATTTTCGGCCGGATAGATTCGTGCAACTTCTTAGTCTAATACCGATCCTAATCTTACTCTGATACTTTCTAGTCTCAGGGTGTTTAACTAGTCTCTGCTAGGCTCAATAGATCTAGGGTATACTGGTTTATTGCGGCTGCTGAAGTTCTCTTGGAGAGACAACTAATTTCTAAGTTAAATTCAAATCTCTCTGGTGCTGAAAGTACAAGTAATTTCAGCACTTACAAATAAGTGGGTTGTTAGTTAGATGGATTATGATTGGTTAATATTAAATACTTTACAGTGGTAAAATATCCAATTTATCCAATCATAAAATATACAGTGCTGATTAAAATTATCCGGACAAAACGAACAAAACTTGAATTTTCAAACGCGTTTTTCTCAAATTGGGTTAAAATTAGACAAAAAATGAAGAGAACAAAAGTTGCTTCGAATTTCACCAGAATCAATATGATGCCTTTTTTCCCGAAATTCTCAACTAAAATTTTACCACAAAAATGGGTCATTTTGGCTTTTTTCAATTAATCAAGAGTTACGCTGAAACTACTTTGTTAATTGATAAGATTATTATATCATTAGAAACCTCTTACGCATCTCAACAAAGTTTAAGAAGGAATAAATCTCCAAAAACCAGTACAAGAGAAAAAATTTTCACTTGATAATCAATAAATGTGATTTTTACTATATAAAACCCAGAATCTCTGTTTAAAAATAAATTTTAAACAATTTGCGCAATTTTTTGGAGATTTAACCCTGCTTAAACTTTGTTGGACTGCGTAAGAGGCTTTTAATGATATAATATTCTTATCAATTAACAAATTAGTTTCAGCGTAATTCTTGATTAATTGAAAAAAGCCAAAATGACCCATTTTTGTGGTAAAATTTTGGTTGAAAATTTCGGAGGAAAAATGGCATCATATTAATTCTAGTGAAGTTCTAAGCAACTTTTGTTCTCTTCATTTTTTGTCTAATCTTAACCCAATTTGAGAAAAACGCGTTTGAAAATTCAAGTTTTGTTCGTTTAGTCCGGATAATTTAAATCAGCACTGTAGTTTAGATCAGGTTCCAATTGGCTAATATTAGCCAATCAGGATAAGTTTCAGTTTTACTTTTCATTTTGCTTCAATTTTAATTTTTGGACCGTTTAAAGAATAAGACCCGCAGTTTTTTGTATCGAATTCAACCAGCATGCGTCAGCATAGTCAGCATTTTTCATGTCATAAAGGAATATTTTGACGCTAAATGTTTTTTTCTGAATCTCTGCTTGTTGCAGATAGAGATTTTGCGATATTTTAATCACCTCACTAGCTTGTGTCGAAAAATCTAGAGAGAAAATCAGAGCGGCAAATATTGCTTAAAAGAGGAATGTTTCCAACTCTGATGCTCTCTTATATTTTTGGCTGAACAAATATCTGCAAAGCTGGTTTCGGCTGGTTGACCTTTGATTTGCTTTGACCCATTCGCATCCGCGTAAGCTCAGCTGATGTTTATATTAAGCTTTCTATCAGACTTAAGGCTTTAATCTTAGACAACGTCATCTTTGACCTATAGTCATTGTAAATAGTTTCGAAGTTTTGTTACATTCTGATTCACAAGTGATGCGAAGCTTCGTTTCGCATCTGTGAGAAACAAATCAGAATTACAGCGTCATGTTTTCTGGTTTCTTTCTAGTTTCCTTTCTACATTTTCCCAAACAAAGTTGATATGCTTGACTGTTTTTTTAGGAAAAAATAATAATTTAAGCAACATCAACTAACGTCGGGGTGAATAAATTGAAAAAAATGAGCAATGTTCCAGGAGGTTCGTGGCACCGTGCATCAGTAAACCACACCCCGTGTTCCAGATGTATGTCCATGATGGACTCTGAGACTGGCAGGACACTGGGGTTCGACTACACCGATAGTTACTCAGACAAGACAAGGGCATACGACTACGACTACACTTCTGGTGGTGAGGCGATTTAATTTTTTTTATTTAGAAGTCACATTGAGACATTTTTGCAGTAGCCTTAATTTATCCAATTTTCGGAAGGGCGAGATACTGGAACCTCAGAATAATCATTGTCAAATCTCAGCGTCACATTTTTCCACGTATCAAAACTGCTATTTTATGAGACCATGATAAATAATTTTATTATTTGACTTAAAAAACCTTATTAGGATTATTTAGTTTTTATAGGATTTTCTTAATTATTATAAGTGGATGTTAAAGTACGACTTAACTCTAAATAGCAACGTTCATAAAAACTAGCAAGGAAAGCCGGTTACTGTGCAACTAGCATAGAGAATTTTGCGACTATAGTCTTAGAACAAAAGTTCAATCAAAGTAGTGTCGTTTTTTTTCTAAGTGGTGTGATAAAAAAAAATCTGGATAAAAAATAGAACTTAGTCATTTCCGACGGCCATAGTCATGTAGGTCCATTGGAAAACAGTTTTTATAAAAAAACTAACAAATAAAAATGAAAAACAAAAATCGTAAAAATTTTTTTTAAAGTTTTTTTTTCAAAATTTTTCCTAAAGTTTTCAAGTTTTTGAAGTTTTTGGCTCCATTATGGCGCTAAAACTAACGTGTTTCGGCTAAAACAATTTTTCACGGCTTTAAATCCCCTACATTGGCTCCTGCTAATGACAATTATTTTCTTGATTTATTTTCTGAATCATTTGCAGGTACTGGAGGAAACAGTCGAGACAATTTCTACCACGTGGCCACTATGCTGTCCCACAAGAACATCCCCGGATTCGCCCTCTCCTACATTGAGAAGTCAGACGAGAAGAGACCATTCGCGTTCGCCACAGTTGATGCTGGAAAAGAGTTCTTCGCCATTCCCAACCGGGGATCTCAGTAAGTATACTTTTAGAGAAAAAACCTGCTATTCAAAACTAAAGGCAATTCAAAGTACAAGTATGATGATTGGTACCCAGGAACAGTAAAAAGTATGAAAGGTGGATTTCGTAATCCTTGTGAAAAACTCAAATGCAAGTAAACAAATGCGAATCAGCTTTTCGACGATTTTACAGAGCCTAAAAAATTTCCTTCAGGGCAACTCATTCAAATTCAAGCAACTCAACTAATATACGTGTACCCAATTCAAAAAAAGGCTCTTTTCATCCCCCCCCCCCCCCACTTCGTATGAGCATCACTTCTGCGGTGTATTGAGCGGTTTTAGAATGTTAATTATGAAGACCAAATATGTTTGTCATGGCCTAACTGGTTCTAACATTATTCAGTCGGCGGGAACAGAAGTTTTACTTATGAAAAATAGCAGGTGAGGGGAAAAGGAAAAAGAGCCTAAAAAGGTTTGCATATTAAATTGAGTGATAAGAAAACTGGATGAAAATCAGCCCTTGCGCTCTTCAATTGAGAGTCATAAAATTTGGAAGCTTTTAGGTCAAAATTTGGAAGCTTTTAGCTGCAGACTGTTTTGTTGCTCTTGAAGGGCACTGCTTTTGATGATTTGAGGAGAAATTGTTGCTAGACCCAATTTTAGGTTTTCGCATTATTTTTAATTAAATTTACAAAAGATCAATTATTCGCGGTTTTATTCCATAATGTGGCATCCGTAAGTTAATTCCAAAAGTTGAGATCTAGTGTACATTATCTCAAAGTCCAAGAAACTCAGTCGTTCTACCAAAAACAAAACTGATTTTTATTCAGACACTTTTCATTCCTGGTGGACGGGGATGTTTTGGTGGACTTCGGGAGTGTCTCATCTCTTTCTCTCTCGTGGGACAGGGGTCACTGCTGGTACAACTACTCCCTACCCCCCATTCCCTCTTCAGAGAGGGTGATGATCATCACTAATTCAGGTGAGAGGCACATTCGTACTTATACGACCCACTTATACGACTTATACGTAATGATTCGTACTTTCGAAACAGTGTCTCGTACTGCAGCAGTTGCTACTAAGGTAATATCTCCTTTCAGGTATTGAATGTCTGATAAGAGATATTATCTTAGTAGAAACTACTACAGTACGAGAAACTGTTTCCTTCTAAAAGTTTTCTACTATGAGACAAATCCTAATATGAGTTGAAAATCCTTCTAGTTTCTTCACAATTGTTTTTCAATACTGAAAAAAACAATTAGGTATCTGAGATCAAACTTTTGGAAGCAACCGAGCGACAAACTAGAAATGGATTCAATGCAGGTGATGAATAAGTTGAAAGAACAATTCATTGAAAGAACAATCTGAACAAATTTAAACCTTCAGCGTTCAAAACCACCTTTTGGCTTAAACTTGCTAAAATAAAATGCTTTTTCATGTTTTGTGCCAATTTGTTGACAGTATCGGTGACCTTGAGCATGTAATTGGAAGAAAAAATGTTGCGTCTTAAACTGATGGTCGGATCTAATTTAAACTTACCACCACTTTCAAGAAAAAGGGGGCTAATAATAAGTAGACTAAGTTAATTGAATTTTCCACCAATCAGAATGCAGTAAAATCTGAATTATCAATAGAACACTCTAAAGCTTTTTTACTGCTTTTATTTGAAGGCGTGTCAGTTTGTCATTAGATACAATAGGGAGGGAAGAGGGGGGGGGGGGGGGGGTTGTTAAGTAGATCCCTCATGGGCACCTAATGACTGCCTACTGCCTGTTTCAGCTGACCCCGAGCACTCGTCGGTGGAGTTGCTGGTGTTCGAGGGGGTCAATGACTTCATCACTCTCGGCTTGGAGACCTGGAAGACACTGGTAGGACAACCAAATAAAACCCCAGTCATTTTCATCCTAACTTTTTCATTTACAAAAATCAGAGCGTTTAGAAATTTGGGACGAGAAGAAACGAATTTTCTTTTGAAGCTTAATTGATTTAACTTGCTCAGCTAGTTTTGGGTCAGAAAAGAACCATTTCTGTTTCTAATAAGGGGGTCAAATTTTTTTCTTTAATGCTCATTGGCATTCATCAATCAGTAAGATCGATATAGAATTTGCAAAAAATGAGAAAAACCTCGAACTCAGTTCATGGTTCAGTGGATTTTCCTCCTAAGCATAGTTTATGTATATCACGATAAGTTGTTGAGTGATAATATTGTTATAAATTATGAGACTTAACTGCCTGGAAACTGTTTATTGTTTATAAAATTTCCGCGGGTGCATAAGAACAAGATTCTTCGTATGTTAGGGCAAAAACAAATTTTGATGAACTAAAAACTTTAAACTTTCATTATCATAGAGAAATTCTTCATAAAAAATCAAAAATAACCCAATACTATGGCCAAATTTTATTGCAGGTCGGATTAATTCCATAAACTTTTAGAAAAATCTGAATGTGTGTCTATACTTCTATTACGGAAGTAAATCATTTTTGTTTAATTTTCTTTTTTTTTTCTGATTTAACCTATAAAAAGTTTCAAGTTTATAAAAGCTGTTCGAAAAATTACTTCCGTATAATTTTTAAAATTTCCCAATAAATCTTCTATTTGTGAAATATCGCTTCATTTTTTTAATGTAAAAACGGGTAAAACCAATTTTTGATTTTTTTTTAATTATGCATATAAAATTTTCCAGATTGTAGTTACTATAAATGGTTTTTCAATAAAAGTTTCCAAAATTAAGATTTGAATTTTTTAGCAAGTCATCTAAGTGTACAATGTTAGCGGATCGAAATCATTTTGGGGACATTAAAAGATTAAAGGCAGATATATGTTGATGAAAAGCCTTGAAATAAGCATTCTATAACTAACTCTGCACAAGTTAGTGGTTACGATGTTTTCCTTTCTGCGGCGGTGGAGATTTTCTGCGGCAGTGGAGATTTTTTCTCGGCCTATTAAAACTTTTATTAAATGAAGAATTAAAATAATTTTTCTATGAAAAGTTCCTTCTTACTATTTTCACTAGGCAATAATAGAATTCACTAAATCGCTGTTTTCTCATAAGGAAAAGTACCTCTTATATAAGTTTTAGGGCTAATTTTGTTGGAAATTGGAAAATTCTCAAAAAAAAAGTTCCAAAATAGCGACTTTCGGTTAACACGAACTCACTCATATGTACACAAACAGTTCATTCAATCACGGTTGCTCTTACAATGCGTTGGTTTCTAGAAATCCTACAGGACAAAACACCCAATTTTTCGTATGGTAAGTTTGTCATAGGCAGATTTCAGAAATACCTGTTCAACGCTAAATTTAACTCTTTTCGACTAATATTGTCATGCTTATGTTTTCTTACTATACTAATTGCTTTAGCATTACTTTATGGTTGCCACGTAAAACTCATGATTCCTACTTTTCCTACTCTAGTACCAGAACGTGAGTTTATTGGACGTGAGTCGTTGAAAGCTCAAATGATCAATTTGAAAAAATCTAACAAACTATTGGAATTGTAAGTGCAAAGAGCAAAAAGATTGTCTTAAATGTGTCTGAAAATATTTTTCAGGAAAAAATGTTAATTTTTTTCACACTCAAATTTTTTTTTGTTTTGAATTGTGATTTTTTATCATTTTTTTAAAGTTAACCAAAATTCCTTATCTAAAAAAAATTTTAATTTCAAGAAAAAAAATAAATTACTTCTAGTTTCGAAAACCAATTTTTATTTCCTTGAAATTGAATGAAAAAAATGTAGAATATCCTGTAAATTAAATTAAACCACAAAAAAGCGCCAACAAATTTTTTGATTTCAAAGACTTTTCTGATTTAATTTTTCTTCACTTTTTTTGAGTTTGTTCACACTTTTCCTATAAACTGTTGGCTATGTTTTCGATTGCTGTCACTATTTTAACTAAAGTTTTTGAGTTCCTGCAATTTGTACATTGAAGCAGTTGAACAAAAGCTGCGATATAAAGAAGCGAAACAGCATGAAAAACAACATCAATAAACTTTACACGTTTGTCTCAAATGAAGTATAATTTGATTGAAATTACCGAGAAACACAATTGCCATTGTCGTTTCAGTGTGTAACCAAATTCTTAAACAGTACTGAAGCAGACAAAGTCAGATCAGACAACTTTTGAAGCGGAAAAAAATTCCTCAAAACTATCGGCAATTTTTTTTACATCAAAATAAGGTATTTCGAGACAACTAAGCCCAATTAAGTCAACTTTTAAGCTGAAAAACTTTTAAGCTGAAAAACTCCAGAGTGAAAAAAACGAAGACGCACAAAACCAACGGTGTTTTTTTTTCTACAAATTACATGAAAAAAAAACAAAATTGATTACATAATCCAAGAAAAAAAAAGCAAATAACGATAATCAGACAGCTTGTAGTTTTATATTGAAGTTTTTCGTTCAAAAAGTTTCAAAATTTTGAAGAAGAAAAAGGAAATGATAAAACCAGATACTTACGTTGTCACATGCATGGGCGATGTTTTTAGGCAAATAATGCAGAAAATTTCAAGAAAATTGAATTCATTATTCAAGTCTCACGTGCAAAATTGGTTACAAAATCTCTTTAAGAAGAAACAGTTAGTAAATCCGCTTTGCGGATCGCTTAGTTGCACACAAATTGAACATGTTTTTACTGTTTAAGAAACTATATATTTTATAGATTTTTTTCATGCATTCCACGATTCTTTATGATTTATTTCGTAATTGTAATAATGACATGGGGCTGCGATGTGCCACAATGACACCAATACTTTTTAGCCAGAATCCACACACCACCCACCTGAACTCACCCCCTCCCACTCCCACTGAACCCACTCCCCTCCCACTGAACCCCCTGAACTCTAAAACTTCAAGCTTACAATGTAAAAGCTAAATCGCTATCATCTTCTGCTCTAGTTCGTTCATAATATAAGTTTCCTTCCAAATTTTAGCAAAGCGACCCATTCTCATTTCCAGGGGTTAGTCTAGAGAATACGCCACTTTCCGATGTTAATATTGCGGTTTTCTATGCAGTTTTGGAGTCAAAACGCCCAAATGTCAACTTAAAGTCACCCAGGGATCAACCGGGATCAAACTTCCATATATGGGTACAAAACTCTATGAGGGACCTAACTACCAAGTTCCATCCAAATCCCATTAATACTGCACAAGTTTTCCCATTCCTAAGATCCATTATCATTTTCTCCCGAAAAAGGCTATTAACACTGGAAGGAGTCGTCGGAGGTTTTTCACTCACAAGTGGTATTTTTCGGGTTTCGTATCTTATGTCGGTTGCCGCAATGAAATATTTATGCCACCCTTCAATATTTCGCGTTAATTACCTATTTCCGGTCTAAGGGGATGTTTTTTCAAGTGCTAATAGCTTCTGATCCACCCTATGGAAATAGTTCAAAATGTAACACAAGATGTATCTTGCCACTACTTATCAACCCTCCGAGTTTCAGCTCCCTGCGTTCATTGGAGGCCGAGACACGATTTCCGGAAGTTAGGGGTGGGTTTGTTTACTTAAGGCATAAAACCGGAAGCGGGGGTCCTAGGGTTGTGGGGTTCCAAACTTAAGCTTCTCTCAACTAGGCCTACAACATCCTAAAACTTGAGCCCAATACCGCCGCTAGTTTCCGAGTTCCGATAAGGCGATTTACACTTCCGGGGACCGTTATCACTTGCCCCCAAGGGTCTGAGGGGTCCTGTTTTTTGTATGCCTGGGTCAAATCATCTCTAATCTCGCTCCTCTTAATGTCATAACATTAGCTTCCTGAGTTCTATATTTCGGTAGGTTTCGCCGATTTGTAAAACTTTACTTTCTGGCATAGAAGGGACGATATCTTCGAAAGTTGATCTATTTCGAACTCGACCCTTTGTTTACTGTACTACTCAACTTCATGACTAACGGATCTTACTTTCAGGTCACTATAGTATGTAATACAGTAAAATCACAAATTCTACAAACATAAGAAAGTAACAAAAATATCAAAGTTAGGCAGAAAAAAATTAAATTGAATAACAAGTAACCAACGTAACCAATTTTAGTTTAAAACGTAGAAAAACTTTTTTATGCGTTGAATTTCGTATCTCAGTAAAGTGGAAAAAAAATTATTATAATTTATTTTCTTTGTTAGTGTCCTCAAAAGTGAAAAAAAAATCGATGTTTATGGATGAAAAAAGGATTTTGTTGCCTCAAAAAATAGTATTATTATAATTCAATTTTAATTGATAATAATCAATTTGTTTTCACTTTTGTGGATACTTACAAGGAAACTCAGTTATAATTGATTTTTGTTTTTGGCGGGTACTTTATCCAATGCGTGTACTTATTGTCGCCATAGGTTACAGACATGTTTATGGGTGTTTTGATAATTTCATATATCATATAATCGTATAATCGTATCAAATTCAATAAACATATAATCGTATCGAAGCAGCCCGAAGCAAACATGCTTTCAGACCTGAAAAAAATGTTTTTTTTTCTAAGCAGATCCCAATTAGGAGATTCCAGATTCGCAGTTACATAATCAATATGGAGACACTTGCAAAGGAAGTTTCCACTTGCAGTTCAGATGACGTGCACACAGAAGAGGAGAAAGCGTGTGTGTTAGGAGAGCAGATGTCCTACAGACGGCCGAAGGAGGGCGCCCAGACATGCAAATTGCACAGTTCAGATGAGGGACACACACATGTGAGTTTCAAGTTTGAGCAAGTCGAAAAGTAGTTTTTAAGTTGGAAAAAAAATTCTAAAAATTTCGGTATAACCCAGGATCTGCAAAACGATAATCATGTTCGTATGATGGGTATTAAGTTAGTTTCAAACAAAAAAAAAACAATTTTGTCTGGATAATCTTTTGAGTCGACGCATTGTGGCCGAAAATTGCATATTTATTCCTAATCTTAAGAGAAAAATCACAAAATTAACATATAAACGTTCACTTTTTTGATATGCAGGGTTAATCTAAATTGGTGCAAAAAAAATGAGTGAAACAATTCGAAATAAGGAAGAAGTTCATTTTAAAATAGACCCCACTACTAAATACACCAAATAGAGATTTCGCTTTGGATTACAAAAATTGTTAAGTTTTTTTAATCCAAATCGTTAAATTTACATTGTTGTGCATTGGGAGGGGAGCGATGGTCCGAGATATAGTTCAAAAATTTTAGAAAATGTAAAAAAGGCGTTTCATTTACCATTTGTTTCAATATTAAATTTAATTTTTTTGCAGGAAGCTTGTGAGTGCACAGATGAAGATTTCGAATGCGACTTTGGCTTCGAGCGAGAAGAAAAAGAAAACTCCGATTCCTCCGACGACGCGGAAACTTTATCCTGCAAACCTCTTCACATGTCGGAAATGAACACGACTTCCATCTGTTTTCACAAGCTGTATCTCGAACATCAGAAGTTTTTCAATACAACGGGGTACAGAAAAATCGCTTCTGATAATTGCAAGGGGGGCAGAGAGAAGTACTTCAACGATCTGAAAACTTACCCATTTGAAATTCTATGCACTAAAGAAGATTATTATGTCGCAGGTCAAGACAAGTTGGTTCAGAAAGCACAAGGAAGCTCAAATATCGGAATCGTGCTCGGAATTCTGATGTTTATTGTATTTATATTATGTACTGGATTATTTGTTGTTTATCTTGTCAAGGTGAAAAAGTATAGAATCAAATTGCCTTCCGTTTCAATGCCGAATTTCCGGTCCTTTGCATCTGATTTTGGATTCAATAAATTCCAAAACGAAGTTTAACTCGATTAAAGTTAAGATTTAGTACTATTAGTTGATGTGTTTATTAACTTGATTTAGCTTCAATGTGTATTTTGTTGTAATTAAATGGATATAATTTAAATTTCAAAATCAATTTTTCGTTGCAGTTTATGTCAAGGAAAAACTTCCAACAGATTGAAATACAATTCTTCCGTTTGTTTCTTTTAGAAGTTTTAACAAATAATTTGCTTCTCCAGAAAACTTAGTTTAGCATTTCGAAATGAGCATTTTTTGCATAAAAATCGCTCGAAATTATAAGTGAAATGGGTCAACAATTGTGGACACCATTTATAGATATATGAAAAAGCTAACAAAACATTTTTGGTTAAGCACATTGTGCTTAGATCCGCATTGCCCGCATAGAACTCACAAAAGCACGCACTTTAACGCCTAATTTTTTGTTCCGACTTTCGATACGAAAGTAACGGAATATTTGTGCTCGGGGTGGGTTTTTTTTTTCTTCAGACAAATTTCGACTTTTTAACTGGCCATTTTTCAAGGAATTGTTTTATATCAGTCAAAAAGTATTGTTGTCCTGAGCTCAAATTTGAAAAGATATTTCACCTGTGATGATTTTTCGTAAAGTTACGGGGGTTTAAAGATTGCCATTTTAGCCAATTTGGGACAAATAACGCGCGATATATTTCGCGCTATTAACGTGTAAGCGGAGATTTAATCCGTCTTAGAAATCGTTTCAAATTGGCTGACAGAAGCTTATTTGCCATGACTGATTTTATGGCAAAGAACGAAGTTTACAAGGAATGAAGTTTTTCCTTTTGTACTTAATATGGCGTGTGGAGGGATGATTTTTATGAAAAAATTCAAATTTTAGAATTTTTTTTTTCATTTTATTTAATTTCATTTAATTTTGTAATGTTATTACTGCTCCATAGACTTTAAAAGGCAGTCGCAACATTCAGGGCTTCGCCCTGATACGAGCAGTCTTGTTTTGTTTTGGATTCCATCGTAATTATTACTTGATAACATATCGGATCTTTTCGCATATCATCACAAATCTTGCGTTTTCAAACAAAATTGTCATTTTGCGCCATCCCGCACCGAGCGCCCAAGGATTCTAATCAAATGTAATGGATTCCCGAGACAAAAATATTCCATTATAATTCATGAAAGACAAAAAAAATTCAGACTACGAAATCGAATATATTGCCATTATAATCGATTTATTTTTGAAAAACAATAATCCATTAAAATCCATTATATTGGATTAATAACCCATTGTTTTTGGCAAGGAAACAGTTACTTTTGCCAAAACAATCCATTATAACCCATTATAACCGATTATAATCCTTTTTAATTTAGAGCTAAATTCGATTATTTTGCAGAAAGTTTGCAATTTTTGCACGAAATTTGCAAACATTATGGCTGGGGGTGGTAAACTGGGGTGGTAAACTGCTGGGGTGGGGGGTAACCTGGGGGAGGGGAAGAGAGGGGTAAACTGAGATGAATTGAAAATGTAGAGACAAAAAATATAAAAATTTTAGTGTGAAAAGTAACATTTTATGAAACGTAAGACAGAGCAACTGCACTATACAGGAAAAGAGATAATTTCAAAAAATGTAAATTTTATGATTAAATTCTCGAAAAGGTCAATTATAATGGATTATAGAAAAATATAATGAATTATATTGGCATAAAAAACGTCAAACCGATTCAATTGAGACTTATAATGATCTTTAATTGAGACAAACGTGAGTTATTTGTATTCGAAAGTAAAACAAACGAAGAAAATGTTTTCAGGTATAGAGTTGCCTTATCCTAAAGACAGAAGCTGTTCGCGAACTATAAGGTTATCTCAAACAAAAAAATCACATAAATAAGGAAAAAAAAAGGAAAAAAGCAACTCCTCGCCAAAACCGCTAGCAAACTCTCCTTTGCTTCTGAGATAATAAACCTAGTAGTTTCCAAAACACTTGGTGATATCTTTAATAAAATTGTGAACAAAAATTGTTTTCCACATACTCTGAAAGTGGGTAAAGTTAAAGTTGTCCCCTTACATAGAGGAAGCAATCGGTTGGTGTAGAGCAATTGTAGACCAATTTATCTTCTTCCAGTTTTACAGTAAATTTTTCGAGCAATTCTGCAAAAAGCGCTTCGTGAAGTTTATCAACAAAAACAAAAAAAGATTTGTCAAAAACCATTCCCTTCTCCTTGCAAATTGCAAAATACCCAATGCCATTAGGCTGAAAGGGCCCAGATCAATGACTCTTGCAACTTTCTGATAGAAAAAAGTTTGCTTGCCATCAAGGTGTTCTATCAACATGAAACAAGTGAAAACTGGAGTCCCACAAGTGTCAGTTATTGACCAAACTCTTATCCTGATCAATATATATGATCTTATTAAAACAGTTCCAAACTCTGAACCTTTTTGTTTGGTAATGATGTAGACTAGACCTTCATAGAGATTCAATTAAAGTTCAAAATTTTATAAACCATCTGACCAAAACATCAATTTGAATGGCAGCAAACGAAATAACACTGATTACAGGGAAACCCCAGCTTATATGCGGAGCAAAAAAACTCGCGCAAATGAAATGGAGCAATCAATTTTTTCAAAAAGTCCAACATTTCAAAGGCCTAGCGTTACTCATTGACAAAAACAATAAATTTTCGGAACAGATCGGCGCAATGTTAAAAACTGCTATAAGATTCTTTCAAATTTATACAACATGAAACAATTCTCGATAAAAGATTGTCTCTACAAATTTTTCCATGGAAATAATAAACCTATTTATCAGTAGACTATTTTGGTTTGTGCCACTTCAAAAAAAACATGATGATTATTCATTCTGCAACGTTACAGAACGTTTTCGGGCCATCAATTTTTTAGGGGAAAAAATTGAAGAAAGAAGAATTTTATAGTGAAACGAAATATAAAATGTTTCATTTTTGAGCTACATGCAAAAGAGGTTCTAAGACTTCTATGTAAAGCTATAAATTCTGATCATTCAGTGAGTTTTTAATTTTTTTTTGAAAAATTTGAACCAAATATTTATTAGAAGAGACACGACTCAAGTGTCTCTAAACAAAGCAACAATTGAAAAAAAATAATAACAAAAAAAGAGTATCTGTACGTACGCGTAAACTATTCACTCAGTGGGTAGACTCGAACTTTAAACGAAAATGCTACGGAAAATTATCGATTTGAATAAATCAGACTTGAGAAAATTTTTGCACTACTTAAGAGACAACTATGTAATTGATTAGGAAATTTTCACAGATATTTTTTGGTCGGAGATATTTTTTGATGAATCATGCTGCCTGAATCATATGCCTTGAATTTGTGTTTGGGTCATTGCAATATTCTGTTTTTTTTTGGCCACTATAAAATGCTCGAAATTTCAATAAATTATAACGTATCATAATGTAAATTTTTTCCGTTGTGGTTACAAACAAATGCTTATCAAAAACTGTTAAGTTCGTTTCGGCACTTTAAACAGGCTAGTTAGCCGTCAGTGTCTGCTCAAGCTGCTGTTCTTCGAATTTTGAACTATAATGTGTGTTTTTTTTGCGCGCATAGCTTGAAATTTTTATAAATTACGATTATCATTTTTTTTCGATTCTGAGACAAAATTGATTAAAAAAAACAGATTGACTGATAAATGCTACAATCACTCACCCGCGTTCACTCACATAAACTACAAATGCCTGTCATACAAATCCATACATCTCGATTACGATACTCAGTGAATTGTATAACATTTTATAGAACTTCATACAAGTGAAATTTTCACAATTCAACTATCAAATTTTACATACGGTTTTTTGACAAAGATATACATTGTGTTGGCTGAATACTTTTTGCAAAAGCACCTTCGTTGTTCATGACATGATCTCAAAATGCAGTTTGAATATGAGATTCTTTTAGTGACAATTTGAAAATGAGGTTCTTTTAGAAACAAAACCAGAAGTTCTTAAAAATATTAACCAACAAAAATCCGCGATTCGATAGTTCATGGAAAGAAAAATGCTAGAAAAAAATCACTACAAAGAAAAAATGTGCGGAAAATGCTACATAGAGTTGTAACTTAATGAAAATTCAATTTCATTGAAAAGGCAATACTTGATAACTCAAAACTCGCTTGAAAAAAAAATTGTGGCTAGCTTTTTTGCAAAAAAATACAACTGTTGACTTTTTGATAATTGTTGCAATGCAAATGTAGAGTATAGATAGATGTATATAAAACAAGAGTATAGATGCATATAAAACAAGGGTATAATTGCATATCAAAAAAAGCACAGTTGGCCGAGTATAAATGTGCGAGAGTATAAATGCATATAAAGTTGAACCAAAATGTAACAACCATAAGCACAGTTGGCCGAGCGGCCTAGAGAAAAGTCTCTCACGCCGGTCAACAGTGTTCGAGTCCCCCCATATGCAGACCTTAAAACATGTAGACCCGAGGGGCTATAGCCCCATTTGACCGTTTTTTACTGTTTTTTGGTTCTAATTCGGTTCAGCCTTGATTAAGGCTGACCGCCAAAAAGAGCAATTTGTTGTCTCAAGGACATTACCGACCGGTTCTTGTGGCTAGCTTGCGCCAATTTGTAACGAAATAAGTTGAGAATTGAAGTTATATAATGTTATGCTTGACCAAAAATATGATAAATTATTGAGTTTCCGAGTTTCCGAGATTTTTACCAATTTACGGAGATTGAGCGCGCATATTTTGGCACCCAACGTGGGGCCACATTGGACAGGCGAGCCTTTGGACCAGCAAATTTTCTCACCAACCAGAAGATGTTCACGTGAAGACACTTTTAGAAAAGGCAATCAGTGAGTTGGAGGATAGATTAGGCATTTTTTGTGGCTCAGATGTTGATGAAAAGGACATAGATTCTGATATATTTCCTAAATTGTGACACTACTCTCTTTCATTGGGCTGTCTGAGCGTTTCAACATATACTATACTGTGACCAGTCGTTCTCGAGAACCAAGGACGTGCATCTGTTTTGGCGCTTCTATTCAAGATTACAAGAGACTTCATATCTTGCTTGCAGAAAACCTTCCAATTTTGCACTCTGTGATCCAACTAAAAATTCGCTG